CCAGTGGCGTGAAAAACACACTGGGGGCCCAGTGTAGCCTAATGGTTATGGCACTGGACTCCTACAAAGTCAACCATGGTTTGAATCCTGGACCCGGTGGCTTAAAACTCACCAGGTACACGCGCGTGTCGTGTGCCCAAGATCCTGAGAGGAGAAGGAAGGAGAGATTGTGGCGTGGCCATCCCCCCAGGAGGTGATTTCTTAACCCCCACCCCCGGAAGTGTGCACATACCCTACAGCAAACTAAAAAGAAAAAAAAGTTGCCAGCAGGTGGTGTGGTAGTTAAGGCACCGGACTCCTACATGAATGAGCACAGTTCAAGTCCTGGACCTGACCCGGCGTCTTGGAAATCATGCCAGGATCATGTGCATGCATGCTCAGAATCCCAGGATCATGTGCATGCGTGCTCAAAATCCCAAGCGGAGAATAGAGGGGAGGGGTTCGCATCCCTCCCTGGGGGGGTGGTTTTTCACTTTCACTCTCACAGTCTCTGTCTCTGTCTGGCAAGCGCATGCACCCTGCGGCAAAAAATCTTTAAAAAAAAAAGTCGGAGGATTGACAGAGACGCTGCAGCTCTTGTGCCTCACAGCTGGCCAGGGCTGGCTTGTTCCCCAGTCGAGTGGATCCAGAGCCTCTGCCCTGTTAGATGCAGTGGTGGGGCAGCCTGAGGACACACTGAACAGTCCCACACCAGGAGTGCGGGCCGGTGGGAGACCCCTAAGTCCTGCATCTCCTCCTGGGTGGAGCCCTGGGCTGCCCCCTGCTGGGGGAGAGCCAGTTCCCAGCCACCAGTAGGCAGGGGAGGAGAGGAGGGATGCCTGTGTGGGCAAAGCCCTACACTGACCTCCAGGGCTTGTGACTGCAGCCCCATGGCAGGTGTGGGGTGTTATTTCCCTCCAGCTCCTCCCCTATCACAGGTTAAAGTCTGTGCTCTCGTAAACCCGTGTGCACAAGGGAGGCAGGGCAGCAGGTCTGCTCCTGTCTGGCTGCAGGGCCACTGCGCCCACAATCCTCCTGGACCCTCTGCACAGTGGGGTGTGTGTTTGCCTACCCCGAGCGTCAGCCTAGGCTGGGGCGACTCACCCGCCCACTGCCTGCTCTCGTCCAGGGGCGAGGGTGCTAGCAAAGTGAGGACTTGCTGTGGGGAGGGCTGGGTGCCTCCCAGGTGGTGGAGAGCTTGGCCTCTTAGAAGAACCGAGGCTGGCAGGAGTGCCTGGTACCCTGGTGCAGGCCCGGCTGGCAAGTGCGCAGTCAGCCCAGGCCCCGCCTGGAACCTGGTGGGCAGGGCAGGCAGGGTGTTTCAGAGCGCACGTGGCAGGACTCACCCTGCAGGCCAGCTGGGGAGCCAGACACCCTGCACCTCAAGGGTGAAGTCTGCCCTCTCGAGGCTTGGCCCGGTCCCTGCCACGGTGGGCCTGCCCCTCCCTGCCGCAGCCCCAGCCCCAGCCGTGGCTCTGATGGGTGGGTCATGGCTGAGAGTTGTGGCATTGAGCGTGGGTCCCATGCTGTCTTTCAGAACCAACACTGTCATCCTCGTGGACGCCGACGGCCACGTGACCTTCACCGAGCGCAGCATGCTGGACAAGGACCCCTCCCGCTGGGAGACCAGCACGCATGAGTTCATGCTGCAGAGCTAGCCCGCCGGCTCCAGGCGTGGCCAGTGTCCACAGGGATCATCCACGGCCACGCCGCACTGCCTGGGACCCGGCCAGCTCCCACCGGACCAGCTCTCCAACCTGTGTCACCTGTCTGCGTCGCCGTGCCAGCTCAGGGACTGCCCTTACGCCCGTGGGGAGGGATTGAGTCTTGCACTAGTTTTTGTGCAGATCCCGGTGTGCCATGCGTGTGCAAATGCACCTGGACCTGCCCCAGCACACATGCACAGGTGTACACACGGGCACACACACAGCACACCTACAAGTACAGGGGCACACACACACAGGCAAACGTACAAGTACCTGGGTGCACATACACACACAGGCACACCTACATGTGCACACACATAGGCACACATACACACACAGGCACACCTACATGTGCACACACAGGCATACCTACATATGCACACACATATACACACGGGCATACACACGAGCACACCTACATGGGCATACACACACAAGCACACCTATATGTGCACACACACAGGCACACCTACATGTGTACATACTCCCACAGGGCATACTTACATGTACGCGCATACACATACACACAGGCACAGCTACATGTGTGCATACTCCCACATGGGCATGCTTACATGTGCACACACGTGCACACACAGACACACCAACATGTGCACACACATACACAGGCAAACCTACATGTGCACACACACACGGGCACACCAACATGTGTACATACTCCCACACGGACACACACATGTGCACACACAGGCATGCTGACGTGTACATGCTCCTACACATGCAAGACACAGATGCACAGGCACGTGTGCACATGCATACTTGAATGCACACGCGCTCACACGTGCCAGGCAGACAGAGGGCTGGGTCTCACCTAACACACACACCTCTAGCCAGTGGGTCTGTGCTCTGGACAGATGACAGGAGCCAGCTTTGTCTCTGGGGCACGCCAGGCACAAGTGAGCTTCAGTCCCAGACACCCAGCCTGTGCCTGCAGGGCAGACAAAGCCACGTTTGGGTCAGGCGTGAAGAAGACCCAAGAGTCGGTGGACCCAGCGGTCCTGCCCATGCCAGGCCGTCCCATGTATGTGGGCTCCCATGTGCGTGGGGCTGCCCTGTTTGCCTAGGGAGAGTCCTAGGTTGGGGGTGGTCCTGTGAGCACCCAGGGCTCTCGGGACCCTGACCCGGCAGGGGTTGTGGCTTCCGGGCAGGCCCATCTCGGCACGGGGACAGCCAGCCCCTGCCATCTCCCTGGGGGCGTGTCCACCTCTCTGGAGTCTGTACTTGACTGAGAGCCGCGGGTAATAAACCTGAGGCTGTGGTGAGTGCGTGCTGTCAGGTCCTTCCCCGCCGTGTCGGGGTGACGGGCCCTGCGTGGTGAGTGCATGCTGTCGGGGTCCTTCCCCGCTGTGTCGGGGTGACGGGGCCCCTGTACAGGCACAGACACTCCATACGAGGCTCTTCCCTCATCTGCCGTCAGTCACGGCCTCCTGAGCACACAAGAAGCATATGAGTCCATCTGTCTGTCCATCCATCTGTCCTCGGGCAGAAGCCTGGGTTTGAGAGCCCGTGTGCGTGGGACTTGGTCAGCGCGGTCCAGCCACCACCAGGTGGCTGTGGGGAGCCCTGTGGGGACCCAGCAGGGACTTGGTTACCCTGTGCTCTGGGTGGAAGGTGAGGATGGTGGGGGGGTGGGGGGGTTTGAGGACAGGAGGACAGCGGGGTCGGCTCCGTCCTAGAGCTCCTGGATTGGCCTCAAGTCACAGCAATGGCCAAGCACAGGGAGGTCCCAGGTGGCCAGCTCCCAGCCCGGGCTTCCTGCCACCTCTGCAGCTGACCTCTGGCATGACCTTGGAGCAATGAGAGTCCCAGGTGGGTGTTGACCTGCAGTGGGGCTTCCATTTCTGGGCATTGCTGGTCTTAGGTGACAGAGAGGAAAAAATCTGGACAAAAGACAGACCCTGGGGGCCAGCAAGTGGCATAGGCTCTGGACTCCCCTGTTGACCACGGTTCAAGTCTCAGACCCAGTGGCTTGAAACTCATGCCAGAGGCGTGTGTGTGCGTGCCCAAAATCCTGAGAAGAGAATGGAGGAGAAGGGATGCGGCGGGGCCACCCCCCTGGGGGGTGATTTCTCACTTTCTATCTCTTTGGTGAGTGCATGAGCCCTCTAGCAAAGTCTTAAAAAAAAAAAAAAAAACAGACAGACTGATACAGACACACACATGATACCATGTAAAGATTATAATTCTCAGGACCAGCAGTTAGCGTAATGGCTATGTCGCTGGACTCCCATGTAGTCGACTATGGTTCACGTCCCGGACCCGGTGGCTTAAACTCACGCCGTGCGTGTGTGCGTGCGTGCCCAAGATCCCGAGAGGAGAATGGAGGAGAAGGGATTGTGGCATGGCCATCCCCCTGGGGGGTGCTTTCTCGCTTTCTGTCTCTCTGTCTGGCGAGCGCACGGACCCTATAGCAAAAACCTCTTAAAAAAAAAAAAAAAGGATTATAATTCTCCTGCCATCAGCCAAGGGATTGCCAGAAGCTGAGAGAGAGGAGCCGGGTCAGGCCTTTACAGAGCTCCTGCCTGGGGGCCTTTGCACACACCGGCCCCTCTCCCCTGGTGCCTTCAGAGGGAGCACGGTCCTGCCCACACCTTGAGCTCAGAGTTCCAGCCTCCAGAACCTGAGACAATAAATGTCCGTCGTGCGAGCCACTCACGGGGTGCTCTATTTCTGCAGCCCGAGCAAGGAGGTACAGTAGCCATCCTCACAGCAATGAAACAGGCTGGGGGAGCTAGCCCCATAGCCCCCCGTTTCCAGCCAGGGGGCCGGGATGGACCAGAACAAGGATGACTGATGGCTGTAAGCCTGCGTCGTCCCCCCCTACCCCCCCCACACACTCTGTCACCACCGTGCTCAGCAGCACTCTTGTTTCACGTCACCTGCCACGGCTTCCTGCCATGCTCTCTGCACAGGGTCTCTGTGCTCACTGTCCCCTCTGCCTGGGGACCTGCAGGTCTCTGCGCTGTGTCGTTCCTCACTTCCTGCAGGTCATTGCTGGAGCCTCGGGAGGCCCCGGGGGAAGTGGCACTCTCCCTACTCACCCCTGTTCCTCAATGGCTATTAGCACCATCTGACGCACTGTGAATCGGGTTATTTCTCGGGTGTCTCCCCGTCAGAATGAGGACTCTCGGAAGGCGGAGACCTTTCCTTGTCTGCTGCTGTACCCCAGTGCCTGGGCCGGGCAAACGTTGGTACCAAGGGGCACAGTGCAAATGCTGTCCGAGCCCCCATGTGCTCTGGCCAGTTCCTTGAAGCCTCCGTGCTGTGTGAAGGTACAGAGGGCCCAGGAAGCCGGACCCCTGCAGAGCTTGGACATGCCACTCAGGGAGATCCTGGCTTGGCCCGGCATGGCCCAGCTGGTCCTCTGTGCTCTTTGTTGCGAGAGACATCCAATCCCCCTGTCCTCAGCCTGGCTCCTCTTCTCCCAGGCAGATGGGGAATTTACCCTCTTTTTTTTTTTTGAGAGGTTTTTGCTATAGGGTGTGTGCACTCGCCAGACAGAGACAGAGAGACAGCAAGAAAACACCCCCCATGGAGGAGGGCCACACTGCAATCCCGTCTCCTCCATTCTCCTCTCGGGATCTTGGGCACGCATGCACACGTGCCCGGCGTGAGTTTTAAGCCACCGGGTCTGGGACTTGAACCGTAGTCGACCACATGGGAGTCCAGTGACACAGCCATTATGCCAACTGCTGGTCCCAATTTACCCTCTTCTCAGAGGTCCCTTCCAATGCGAGCCATTTCTGCCCTCTGACCACCCCATGATGGCCGGATGAGCTGCGGGGACATGGAAGCCATAGGTGTGGACTGACCAGGCGGGTCTGTGAGCCTGGCTGGCATCCCAGCTCTCGGTCTCATCCTGGCAGGCCTGGGCTCCAGCCTCCTGCTTGGACCATGCTTTTTTTTTTTTTTTTTTTTTTTTTTGGGGGTTTTTTCTCTATGGGGCTTGGAGAGATTTTCGCTATAGGGCGCATGTGCTCGCCAGACAGACAGAGAGAGACATAGAGACAGAAAGCAAGAAATCACCCCCCAGGGAGGATGGGCACGCCCGACGTGAGTTTTAAGCCACCGGGTCCGGGATGCGAACTGTGGTCAACTACGTGGGAGTCCAGCGACATAGCCATTACGCTAACTGCTGGTCCCTTTTTTTTTTTTTGAGAATTACTTTTGCTATAGGGCACATGTGCTCTCTGGAGAGACAGAAAGTGAGAACTCACCCCCCCAGGGGGAATGGCCACACCACAATCCTTTCTCCTCCATTCTCCTCTTCGGATTGTGGGCGTACATGTACATGCACTTTGCATGAGTTTTAAGCTGCCGGGTCCGGGACTTGAACCACAGTCGACTGACTACGTGGGAGTCCAGCTCTCTGCTGGTCCCCCATGCTGCCATTCCTTCTGAGAGTGGGGAGAAGTAGAAGACAAAGAGACAGACAGGCACCTCAACAGGGTCCTCATGCTGGATACAGCCACATTCTCAGCTGGCCAGGATCACAGGACACCGGCGCAGTGTCAGTGAAGCTCTGGAATGTGAGCCTGAGACCTTTTCCATGTGGGTCCCATTGAGTCACGCTGACCGCCACCTGCCTTGTCTATTTTCTTTCTGGCCTCCCTGGTGGGTTGGGGGACAAGTGAGAAAGCACCCCCAATGGAGAATGGTCCCGTTGCATTCCCATCCTCTTGGGAATGTGGGCCTACATACACACACTCGGTGTGGGTCTCAAGCCTCCTGGTCCAGGACTCGAACTGAGCAATCAGTCCTGTGGAATCCAGCTGTCTTAACCACCAGGCCATGCTGCTGGCCCTATTTTATTTTTCTATGAAGAGAGCACTCGGGAGAAGGGGGGAGAAGAGAGAGGTATTTGGGGCAGGATATCAGCATGACACAGCCCTCCTGCCCCAGACTCCCAGTTAGCTAGGATCACGGGTCCACACCACCACGCCTGGCCTGTTTAAGTTGGGCAGGAACAGAACCTGGGCCTCCCCTGTGGTCTCAGCTACTCCCACACGGTACCCTCCGACTCGTGCCCCTAGGGCTGGGCCTCCCCTCCACACTTCTTTACTTCTCTCATTTTGAAATTATTTCAATCACTTGCTTTCTCACTTTCCTTCTCTCTGTATGTCTGTCTTTCTCTGGTCAAATTAAAATAAATGAATGAATAAATAAAATTCAATAAATAATTCTTTTTAAAAAATTATTCCAATCTACTATCTTTTTCTTTCTTTCTAGTCTTTTGTTAGAGGGCACACAGGTTTGCCAGAGAGAGC